CCGGGGCTGGCCGGGCGAGAGGTGCCGCTCCCCGCTCTCGGCCTGCCGCGCAGCCCGGGCGGAGGGGACCGTGCCTGTCGGGTTCCGGGGAACCTGTAATGAATGACAGGACGACCTAGCTCCTTACGTAGCTAACTAGGTCACCGCCAGCACTTAATTACTGTTTGTTTCATTTTAGTGCGTGCCTTATGAATAAACCGGCTATTAGGCTGATGCTTCAAGTAACACTATCCAGCACCAAGGTACAAAATGTCTGTATTGGACTCTGATCTTGTGATGCCAGCTTGAGAGTAATTGCTGTTTTACATTAACGATGTCTTGGTTCTTACAGCTTGGTTCTTCACCTTACAGCTGAAATAGTTGGAGATCCCCCAGGAGAAGGTCGTGAAGCTGGTACTAGTGTTACACCACCGGTTTTGTTGGGTTTATACTGACGGGGGCTCCCCTCTGTTTTTGAGGTAGAGAAGGGGCTTGTGAGTTAAGACTCTTTTTTTTTTTTTTTTCCTGATTTATCTGTCTTAATACGCATGCATTTTAATGGTGTTAAATAAAGGTGATGACCTGTTTCTGGTGGAAGTGATAATTTTTAAATATACCAAAATTACGTTGATACTTAAGAATGCCAAAAGAATCTCTTGTTGCATATTAAAGAGTCCAAAGATTAAATGCAGGGGAAAAGGGAAAAAAGTCTTGCTATTTAGGAAAAAAAAAATCCTTTTACTGATCTCTGTAATAGTACCTGTCAATGCAATTTGCATTTATTTAAATTGTAAAATAAAACCTGTGCTATTATAAACTGCTTATAAAAGTTACTATATACAATTAATTTTGGTGTGTAAATGTTATGTGTGGAATGAGCATTCTTGCAGACAGACAGTGCAGATCCAGTAACTGAATTGTCACTATTCAGTAGTGGTTGGGTGGTTTTGTTATGTTTTTTTGTGTGTGTGTGTTGGCTGCTTTTTTTTTTTTTTGTTAAGTATCACTGTGCTAAGTGAATCTTGTGTTGTAACAGCTGTATCTTGTGTTGCAGTTTCAAACTTTTTTCTTGAATCTTTAATATGAAATTTGGGGCTTATTACCGATGTGCCAAACTGCTGCTATCCACGAGCAGGCCACAATTGCTCTTGTCAGTGTGCCACTAACTCAGCATTTGCTTTCTGGTGGGTGAAATACTCTTGCTCATTTCCATTTTCATTTTTGCTTGTGCTGCTCTTGACTTGTGGCAACATTATGTTTTGATCAGAGTAACTAACTAGTATCACTAGCTGTATGCTACTTACATTAAACTGTAAATCCTTAGAAACTCAAGTTAGTGTGTTTTGTTTGTGTGTATGTGTTTTTAGAAAATGCAGCCTATTAGATGGGCTAGAGAAGACAGCCAAATCACTCTTAAGACTGCAGACAGTAGCGTATAATATACGTGCAATCTGAAAATAAACACAAGAATTACGGGATGAGCAGCATCTGGTAGAGGAGAAAGGGTCAGAAAGCCAGAGGTAGATTTTAGTGACATTCATCTCAACCGTTTTTAATAAAAAATATTAAAGTGTTGGAATTAACTGCATATGTTAGGCTAAAGACTTCAGTGTTTGCGTAGCTTGCTGTGACAAATGTAAGCTTCAACAAGGGGCATTTACTTAGCAAGGTATTAGTCCTACCCCTTCTTCCTGAATAATTTTTTAAAATTCTTTATTACATTTCAGTGTGCTAGCTTCTTTTAAAGATGCTGCTACGTTGTATAGATGGTAAGTGGCTAGTCTTCAGTGGTGCAGTATTAAATCATAAATTAAAGGTCTTATGCATGAAAGGAAATGCTAAACAGTACAGCAAAGGTGGGAAAGCACATGTACAGTATTACAGGCTACTTCTGCACACTTGTACAGAATTTCCACTACCGTTAGTAGAACTCAACTACCCCAGCAGGCTTGGTTTAGATAATCTTTAAAAAAGAAAAAAAAGCTTTTACATTGAAAAGAACCAACTTCTTGTTTATTTAAATGACTTATGACACTTCCCTCCTAAATCTCCTAAAGTGTCGTGTGCCTTCCTCATTTCAACTTTATTTTTATGTATTGCTACTTAGGAAATAAAACAGAAGGAAAAATGAGCTACATAAATGCTGTTGTACATACTCAAGTAAATTGGTTAAACACTTTAAAAAATGTTACCTGTAATTATTGTAATTTTCTAATACTTGCTGTTCTTCACAAAGGTCCACCTTTTTGAATCAATTTTATGATCATCTAAACTCTAAATTAAAAGCACTTCAAAGTTGAGGGTTTCTCAGTTGTGCAATGAAGTATGAAACATGAAGCAGGAAAACCCTAAATGCAACTGAAGAAGAAGTAAAAATAAATATGTAAGTGCACTCCCACTTGATTTCAAAACTGCAGTGCTTTTGAAATCTTAATTCTTGTGTAGGTCCTGACTTATGTGTTCTGAACACTTGGGGTTAGCAGCACTTGAACAGTAAGTTTAGAGAGACTATCAAATTCATATATTTTTCTTACAGGTGAAAAATATTTGCTGCGTTTCTTAAGTTATCATACCTGTAAGGCAGATGCAGGCCTTAATGGCAGAAAATGTTTTGAGGTTCTAACAAGCATTGGTCTGCAGCACAGAAGTCACAGACCCATGCAAGTTTTTTAAAAAGAAAAAAACCCCACCGTATTTGCCCTTAGTAAATTACCTGATTCAAGCATTACTTTGTGATTATCTCTGTGTTTGTGTGATCTAGTGGATGGCACACTTCCCCTGCCACTATAGCTGTACATGTTCCCTGAAATAGCACTAGTGTGATTCATGTTTCTGGTTGGATGTGTGAAAGTTTGATTGAGATGCAAAACTGAGAGAATTCTTCTGAATGTTAAAAAGGAACCATGCTCAGAAATACAGAAATCATCAGGTTAAATTTGGTTCAAACTTTAAGGGTTTTTGTAGAGTAAGAATGATGGTATCACACACAGGTGGGGAAGGTCTAGTTAACTTAAATCAAAACCAAACCTAGTAACTTCATAGTGTTTGTTAGAAGTCTAAGTGGCAAAATGCTACTAGTAGAGTTCTCAGTATTGCAGATTTGCCAGCAATATTTGCTTGTCACGTAGCACTGTCTCATCTTTATATTTTTATCAATTCAAATGGCAGTCAACAGTAGCTAAAAATACATAGAAATTTCTCTTGAGTAAGCGGTTGCCTTAGTTAACTTTTATATAGGCGTAAATGAAAAGGGAAGTAGTTTGTACAACTGTGAATGTGTGGACAGACAATACATGTGACAATTTGTGCATTTCAATATAATACATGCTGCAAAAACTTTTCTGAAAACTTAAGTAGTAAATGAAGGAAATACTGATTAAATAACATCTAAACTAACTAATGTGTTGAAATTGCCCAAGCAAATCAAGTACTTAAAAGCAGTGAAAACACAAATACCCACAGATCCACTTTTGAAAGGAGAAAATCTGTTGTTGTTTAATTATGATTCTAAGTCTATCTGTTGGTGATCTACTTAATACGCAGGTCTTACAGACTGCTGATAGATGAGCAGCATTGCATTGAATGCTGTTGTGTTGCCCAGATAAGAGGAAGTATGTCTATTTTCAGAGTAACTGAAAGGAAAAAAAATCTCAAACTTAACTGTGTTGGTCAAATGCTGATGGGACACCTAATGTGAAAATTGCACTTAAACCATCGGACTTAAACTGTTTAACTACAGTAGTGCCTAACATAACTGAAAAAAGCTAGTGAGAAACAGTTTTTGAGGTTGTTTACATATAAAGGGCTATCAAATGTAGTCAAGTATCAGTTCCTGTTGCTTGTAGTAACATGATAGCTTTTGAAGCTCTTGGGGGAATCCATGACTCTCCTAATCTCCAGATATTATAAAAATGTTTATGAGGCTGAGCTGCTACTATTTCTGAATTTTGAACCTTAACATGAGATCTGTCTTACCCAGAGTCTTGTTGCAAATGGAGAATAACCGAAGTTAGGAAAAAGAAGAAATAGAATGTATATATATGTTCCTGTATCTTCCATCAGTTCTTGATCTTGGGCCTTCCAGAGCTACAGGGAACACTGTGTTTAAGAGCAGCTGATGCACAGAGCTGGGGCAGTGTGGTTCTGAGCCAAGATGTACCTAATACTGTTTAGAGAAGAGTGAGCATAGCCCCCTAACCCCTTACCAAGAGGCAAAAGTACAGTCTCTCGATATTTGGGGTAGCAGTTTTAAAATGCGTTACGCAAACTAGTCTACTTAGCCTTGTCCTTATCTAGCTTGTGTGCAGAGTGGGGAAACTGCAGGCCAGGGAAAGGTCTCTTCCCTCTATGAGACTCCCTTGCATGTGTTGGAGAACAGTACAGAAGCTGGAAGAATTCTTGCAGTCCTGCTGCAGAAGGAAAAAGGGAGATTAAAGAAAATGCAGGCTCAAGCAAGGGAGTGAGGAAAACCTGGTGATTTTGGGTGGGCCAACCCTTGCTCTAGGGGGCTTGCAGCAGTGTCACAGGTGACTTCTGCTAAAGATACGTATCTCCTCAGATGCCATTGCTGTACAGTTTTGTTTCCATCTTTTGCTGATTCAGGAATATTTAGTACTGCAGCTATTCACACTTGATTTGTAATCTTAAGACTTGCTTTCTTGTTGTAAATATTTTATTTCAGTTTCTTGATCACAAACTTCCAGTGACTTAAGTCACATGCTGCACTGGGTGCTGCTTGTAGTTAGTTCCCCAGCATAAATAGCAGTGCCCTGAGCTTACAGTACGGTCTCTCGGAATGAAACTTCTTCCTGTCTCATTTCATCCTTCATCAAGTTACTCTAGTGTTGGTTTACAAAGTCAAAATAGATTATTTTTTCTTTAATGCTACAAGTTTAGCTCCATTTATAAGGCAATAAAAGTAAAGCAAGCTGGTCTGTGAATGAAACCCTTAGAATATTGTGTTTGATCTGTTAACCTCTATTTTAATAAGTCTGGGCTCATTCTTCACTTTGCTTTAGGAAAATGAAATAATGTCATAGTTTTTCCTTCAAGAGGTTGCCAAGCTATTACATAGCCCCCATGGTGTTCCTTTGGAATTAGTTGTGCTTAGCACTTAGGAAAATGGAGTTGTGTGTCCTTAATCCAGGTGTTTGTGTCATGTTTGCAGTACTGTACAGAAATGATAATACCTATTTGCTAGTGCAAGTTTCCCCATGTTGTTTAAGAATTGTGCTAAAGAATCCTCTCCTTTTGCCAAAATATGCTAATTTAGCTTTCAAAGATGTTTTTAAATGATCTTTCTTTAAAGTTTGGGTAACTATCTGCGGCCAAGTTCATACCAGGATCAATTTACTTGTCTATGTATTTTCTTCTATAAATATTTGCTTTATTGTTTTATTTCATCTGCCAAAGAGTTCTTGACTTTAAACGAAAGTCTAATAGTTTCTGTCTGCAACTGAACATTAAAATTATGTATAATTACATACAAATATTACCATACAAACATATAAAAATTAGGGTTGAAAAATTCAGTGCTCATTGAGTTTTCCATCTGCGTGACACCATGCATGTGTATTATGATAGTCTTTAATTATATGATCACTTTTTTTTAATGCATGATCCTTACATTTGAGATTGATACTGCTCACTGAATTAAAAAAAAACCCAG